ACTTTTGGTGACTTTGAATCTACTTGCCAAGTGCAGTATGGATACCTATTTGGAAACACCGAATTCCTGCCAGCTTCCACCACTATTCCGGATTCAAGAACTCATCGGAGTGAGTGAGTATGGTTTTACGCCGCTTTTAGCAATATTCCAGCAATATCACGGCGGGGGACACCAGAAATGGGCTTCACACATTGTACCCATGTCGGGAATCGAACCCGGGTCTTCAGCGTGACGAGCGAACGCTTTAACCACGGGGCTACCCGACCGCCCCAGAACTCATCAGAGACTCATCACCTCTTTCAAGACAATCAAGAGTGGCGAGTGCACTTGGCAAGTAGATTCGAAAAAGAGTCCGGTCAAAAAAAGCCTCGAATTGCTGTTATGTTGGTACAGCCAGCCTTCCGGAAACTGTCCATCCCAAAACTTACAGAGCGATCAAGCCTGCCACGTCAATGTCCCCATGTAGCCCTAAAACAGTTTTGTGGAGTGGGGTCATGTTTCTAGGAAACTTATTTCATGCATTAAGATGTCACTAAACCTCCATTGAATTGTTACATTGGTAGTACGGAAGTTTAATGACACATTATGGGCGGTCGGGTAGCCTAGTGGTTAAAGCATTTCCTCGTCACGCTGAAGACCCGGGTTCGATTCCCCACATGGGTACAATGTGTGAAGCCCATTTCTGGTGTCCCCCACCGTGATATTGCTGGAATATTGCTAAAAGCGGCGTAAGACCATACTCACTCACTCACTCACTCACTAATGACACATTTGTACATTAGCAAGGTATTAAGATGGTGGTTTGGGGGTCAGTGTTTGAAATAAGCACCTGCCCGTGGGCCCGTGACAAGTAGCTCTCGTGTCGGGCTGATAGTTTCAAATGTGTGTTGTCCTTATGACCTGCAGTGAATGTACCTGTAGATTTATTTGTCACAATAAGCTGCAGTTTTTTTTATCCCCCCAGCATATAATGCGGGATCAGCCAGTCTGTCTGTCCCTCCGTCTGTCTCTCCGTAATCAGCCAGTCTGTCTGTCCCTCCGTCTGTCCGTCCCTAATCATTTCCTTTTCCGGGGCAAAAAATCAAAACCATTCAGTGTATTTGATCGAAACTTGGCAAATCTATCAGGCACATACTGAAGTGGTGCCTTTTGATATTTTGGGATTTTTCTAAAAAAAATGTTTTAAATTTTTATGGAATGAAGTTGGACATAGACTCAATTGGGGATGGGGTTCGTTTCCCGGGCAGAATTCGAAAACCATTCAGTGTATTTGATCGAAACTTGGCAAATCTATCAGGCACATACTGAAGTGGTGCCTTTTGATAAAAAAAAATTACGAAATTTTTATTTTTTACAATTTTTATGGCCAGAATTCGAAAACCATTCAGTGGGTTAACAATGTATGCTTCTTAAAGAACATTCAACTGTTGACTCATTACATACAGAATTGCACATTTACTAGTGGTTACTTTACAGACAGCTGCTGGGGGGATATGTCATCTTTCTGATGACTCTTGTTAATTGAGGGTCTGACTATGTTAGTCAGGGCCTGCAGCTTCTTACATTTGTGAGTCCTGATAGCAGTCTGGCAATTTTTAAAATTTCACACGCTGTTTGGGGTACCATTTACCTGTCATTAAACCAATCATGCCAGATAATATACTGAATGATAATAGTTGGGGATTATGAATATTTGGAGGGGGGGGTGTTTTATTGTTGTGAAGACTGAGCGCACAATTTCATGAAAATATTCCCCCGATATTCATGATCCCTAATTTTTGGGGTATCCTAGTAGTTAAAGCGTCACGGGTTTAATTGTCCACATGGGTACAATGTGTGAATCATTGGTGCCCCATGCCATGATATTTTTGGAACATGGCTAAAAGCATCGTTAAACCCAACTCACTCACTCACTCACTCACTCACTCACTCACTCACACGATCGCACTTATGCACACAATCACACTCACTCACTCACTGTTAAAAGTGGCCTTAAACCAAATTCCCTCACTCACACGAATGCACAATCGCACTCACTCACTGTTAAAAGTGGCCTTAAGCCCCACTCACTCACTCACTCACTCACTCACACGAATGCACAATCGCACTCACTCACTGTTACAAGTGGCCTTAAGCCCGACTCACTCACTCACTCACTCACTGCATCTGCAGGGAACTGTATACATGGATGGGGACACAGCGTGTACTGTGACAACCTTCCACTGTAACAGTGTGACCACCTCAGATAGTGGGTGGTGGTGTTATCTCCAGGTTCCTGACAGGCGGACACAGTGTGTACTGTGACAACCTTCCACTGTAACAGTGTGACCACCTCAGATAGTGGGTGGTGGTGTTATCTCCAGGTTCCTGACAGAAAGGGTTTGTGTTTCAGGCAGACACAGCGTGTACTGTGACAACCTTCCACTGTAACAGTGTGACCACCTCAGATAGTGGGTGGTGGTGTTATCTCCAGGTTCCTGACAGGCGGACACAGTGTGTACTGTGACAACCTTCCACTGTAACAGTGTGACCACCTCAGATAGTGGGTGGTGGTGTTATCTCCAGGTTCCTGACAGGCAGACACAGCGTGTACTGTGACAACCTTCCACTGTAACAGTGTGACCACCTCAGATAGTGGGTGGTGGTGTTATCTCCAGGTTCCTGACAGGCGGACACAGCGTGTACTTTGACAACCTTCTACTGTAACAGTGTGACCACCTCAGATAGTGGGTGGTGGTGTTATCTCCAGGTTCCTGACAGAAAGGGTTTGTGTTTCAGGCAGACACAGCGTGTACTGTGACAACCTTCCACTGTAACAGTATGACCACCTCAGATAGTGGGTGGTGGTGTTATCTCCAGGTTCCTGACAGGCAGACACAGCGTGTACTGTGACAACCTTCTACTGTAACAGTGTGACCACCTCAGATAGTGGTTGGTGGTGTTATCTCCAGGTTCCTGACAGGCAGACACAGCTTGTACTGTGACAACCTTCTACTGTAACAGTGTGACCACCTCAGATAGTGGGTGGTGGTGTTATCTCCAGGTTCCTGACAGGCAGACACAGCGTGTACTGTGACAACCTTCTACTGTAACAGTGTGACCACCTCAGATAGTGGGTGGTGGTGTTATCTCCAGGTTCCTGACAGGCGGACACAGCGTGTACTGTGACAACCTTCTACTGTAACAGTATGACCACCTCAGATAGTGGGTGGTGGTGTTATCTCCAGGTTCCTGACAGGCGGACACAGCGTGTACTGTGACAACCTTCTACTGTAACAGTATGACCACCTCAGATAGTGGTTGGTGGTGTTATCTCCAGGTTCCTGACAGGCGGACACAGCGTGTACTGTGACAACCTTCTACTGTAACAGTATGACCACCTCAGATAGTGGGTGGTGGTGTTATCTCCAGGTTCCTGACAGAAAGGGTTTGTGTTTCAGGCGGACACAGTGTGTACTGTGACAACCTTCTACTGTAACAGTATGACCACCTCAGATAGTGGTTGGTGGTGTTATCTCCAGGTTCCTGACAGGCGGACACAGCGTGTACTGTGACAACCTTCTACTGTAACAGTATGACCACCTCAGATAGTGGGTGGTGGTGTTATCTCCAGGTTCCTGACAGAAAGGGTTTGTGTTTCAGGCGGACACAGCGTGTACTGTGACAACCTTCTACTGTAACAGTATGACCACCTCAGATAGTGGTTGGTGGTGTTATCTCCAGGTTCCTGACAGGCGGACACAGCGTGTACTGTGACAACCTTCTACTGTAACAGTATGACCACCTCAGATAGTGGTTGGTGGTGTTATCTCCAGGTTCCTGACAGGCGGACACAGCGTGTACTGTGACAACCTTCTACTGTAACAGTATGACCACCTCAGATAGTGGGTGGTGGTGTTATCTCCAGGTTCCTGACAGAAAGGGTTTGTGTTTCAGGCGGACACAGTGTGTACTGTGACAACCTTCTACTGTAACAGTATGACCACCTCAGATAGTGGTTGGTGGTGTTATCTCCAGGTTCCTGACAGGCGGACACAGCGTGTACTGTGACAACCTTCTACTGTAACAGTATGACCACCTCAGATAGTGGGTGGTGGTGTTATCTCCAGGTTCCTGACAGAAAGGGTTTGTGTTTCAGGCGGACACAGCGTGTACTGTGACAACCTTCTACTGTAACAGTATGACCACCTCAGATAGTGGGTGGTGGTGTTATCTCCAGGTTCCTGACAGAAAGGGTTTGTGTTTCAGGCGGACACAGTGTGTACTGTGACAACCTTCTACTGTAACAGTATGACCACCTCAGATAGTGGGTGGTGGTGTTATCTCCAGGTTCCTGACAGAAAGGGTTTGTGTTTCAGGCGGACACAGCGTGTACTGTGACAACATTCCACTGTAACAGTATGACCACCTCAGATAGTGGGTGGTGGTGTTATCTCCAGGTTCCTGACAGAAAGGGTTTGTGTTTCAGGCGGACACAGCGTGTACTGTGACAACATTCCACTGTAACAGTAGGACCACCTCAGATAGTGGGTGGTGGTGTTATCTCCAGGTTCCTGACAGGCGGACACAGCGTGTACTGTGACAACCTTCTACTGTAACAGTAGGACCACCTCAGATAGTGGGTGGTGGTGTTATCTCCAGGTTCCTGACAGAAAGGGTTTATGTTTCAGGCGGACACAGCGTGTACTGTGACAACATTCTACTGTAACAGTATGACAACCTCAGATAGTGGGTGGTGGTGTTATCTCCAGGTTCCTGACAGAAAGGGTTTGTGTTTCAGGCGGACACAGCGTGTACTGTGACAACCTTCTACTGTAACAGTATGACCACATCAGATAGTGGGTGGTGGTGTTATCTCCAGGTTCCTGACAGAAAGGGTTTGTGTTTCAGGCGGACACAGTGTGTACTGTGACAACCTTCTACTGTAACAGTATGACCACCTCAGATAGTGGGTGGTGGTGTTATCTCCAGGTTCCTGACAGAAAGGGTTTGTGTTTCAGGCGGACACAGTGCTGGACGTTGTTGTGGAGAACCTGGGTCGTGTTAACTACATCCTAGCTGGGTCGGAGATACTCAACTCACAGCGCAAAGGTGAGTGTTGGGTTAGCTGCGACAGTGTGGGTGAGTTGTTACAGTGTTGGTGAGTAGTGAGTAGTGAGTTGCTACAGTGTGGGTGAGTTGTTACAGTGTGGGTGAGTAGTGAGTTGCTACAGTGTGGGTGAGTTGTTACAGTGTTGGGGAGTTGCTACAGTGTGGGTGAGTTGCTACAGTGTGAGGTGAGCTGCTACAGTGTGGGGGAGTTGTGAGTAGTGAGTTGCTACAGTGTGGGTGAGTTGTTACAGTGTTGGTGAGTAGTGAGTTGCTACAGTGTGGGTGAGTTGTTACAGTGTTGGGGAGTTGCTACAGTGTGGGTGAGTTGCTACAGTGTGAGGTGAGCTGCTACAGTGTGGGGGAGTTGTGAGTAGTGAGTTGCTACAGTGTGGGTGAGTTGTTACAGTGTTGGGGAGTAGTGAGTTGCTACAGTGTTGGGGAGTTGCTACAGTGTGGGTGAGTTGTTACAGTGTTGGGGAGTTGTGAGTAGTGAGTTGCTACAGTGTGGATGAGTTGTTACAGTGTTGGGGAGTTGTGAATAGTGAGTTGCTACAGTGTGGGTGAGTTGTTACCGTGTTGGGGAGTAGTGAGTTGCTACAGTGTTGGGGAGTTGCTACAGTGTTGGGGAGTTGCTACAGTGTGGGTGAGTTGTTACAGTGTTGGGGAGTTGTGAGTAGTGAGTTGCTACAGTGTGGGTGAGTTGTTACAGTGTTGGGGAGTTGTGAGTTGCTACAGTGTGGGTGAGTTACTACAGTGTGGGCGAGTTGTTACAGTGTGGGTGAGTTGCTACAGTTTGGTTGAGTTGCTACAGTGTGGGTGAGACACTACGTAGTGAACAGTATGATAAGTTGTTTTGTGTGTTTCTAGGACTGAGTGGTGATGTCTACCTGGATGAGAAGAAGTTGGAGGACTGGAAGATCTTCCCCCTCGACTTTGACAAGTCTTACGTCAACAGGTGAGTACAGTCAGACCTCAGTAACCTTGAGATATGAGTAGTCAGACCTCGTTCACCTTAACAGGTGAGTACAGTCAGACCTCGTTAACCTTGACGGGTGAGTACAGTCAGACCTCGTTAACATTGACAGGTGAGTACAGTCAGACCTCGTTAACCTTTACAGGTGAGTACAGTCAGACCTCATTAACCTGGACAGATGATTATAGTGAACTGGTGCAGGTGAGTACAAAGAGACTTTATTAGCCTGGACTGGTATGTAAATAGAATGGTTATCCTTATCTGGTTTCCATTGATCAAGCGTATAAAAGTGTGATCATCTATATATAGGCTCTCCAGGACGAGTGAGTGGAAGCCGTTCGAGGTCCAGGTCAACACTCCCTGCATGTACCGGACCGAGCTGAAAATAGCCGAGGAACCTAGGGACACCTACCTCTTGGTGAAGGTATGACACCTACAGACACCTACAGACACCTGCTTGGTGAATGTATGACACCTACATACACCTGCTTTATGAATGTATGACACCTACAGACACCTGCTTGATGAATGTATGACACCTACAGACACCTGCTTGATGAATGTATGACACCTACATACATCTGCTTTATGAATGTATGACACCTACAGACAACTACATGATGAATGCATGACACCTACAGACATCTGCTTGATGAATATATGACACCAACAGACACCTACTTGATGAATGTATGACACCTACAGACATCTGCTTGATGAATGTATGACACCTACAGACATCTGCTTGATGAATGTATGACACCTACAGACACCTACTTGATGAATGTTTGACACCTCCAGCCACCTACTTGATGAATGTATGACACTTACATACACCTACTTGATGAATATATGACACCAACAGACACCTACTTGATGAATGTATGACACCAACAGACACCTACTTGATGAATGTATGACACCTACAGACACCTACTTGATGAATGTTTGACACCTACAGACACCTACTTGATGAATGTATGACACCTACAGACACCTGCTTGATGAATGTATGACACCAACAGACACCTGCTTGATGAATGTATGATACATACAGACACCTGCTTTATGAATATATGACACCTACAGACACCTATTTGATGAATGTATGACACCAACAGACACCTACTTGATGAATGTATGACACCTACAGACACCTACTTGATCAATGTATGACACCAACAGACACCTACTTGATGAATGTATGACACCTACAGACATCTGCTTGATGAATGTATGACACCTACAGACACCTACTTGATGAATGTTTGACACCTCCAGCCACCTACTTGATGAATGTATGACACTTACATACACCTACTTGATGAATATATGACACCAACAGACACCTACTTGATGAATGTATGACACCAACAGACACCTACTTGATGAATGTATGACACCTACAGACACCTACTTGATGAATGTTTGACACCTACAGACACCTACTTGATGAATGTATGACACCTACAGACACCTGCTTGATGAATGTATGACACCAACAGACACCTGCTTGATGAATGTATGATACATACAGACACCTGCTTTATGAATATATGACACCTACAGACACCTATTTGATGAATGTATGACACCAACAGACACCTACTTGATGAATGTATGACACCTACAGACACCTACTTGATCAATATATGACACCAACAGACACCTACTTGATGAATGTATGACACCTACAGACATCTGCTTGATGAATGTATGACACCTCCAGACACCTACTTGATGAATGTATGACACCTCCAGACACCTACTTGATGAATGTATGACACCTACAGACACCTACTTGATGAATGTATGACACCAACAGACACCTACTTGATGAATGTATGACACCTACAGACACCTACTTGATGAATGTTTGACACCTACAGACACCTACTTGATGAATGTATGACACCTACAGTCACCTGCTTGATGAATGTATGACACCAACAGACACCTGCTTGATGAATGTATGATACATACAGACACCTGCTTTATGAATATATGACACCTACAGACACCTATTTGATGAATGTATGACACCAACAGACACCTACTTGATGAATGTATGACACCTACAGACACCTACTTGATCAATATATGACACCAACAGACACCTACTTGATGAATGTATGACACCTGCAGACACCTACTTGATGAATGTTTGACACCTCCAGACACCTACTTGATGAATGTATGACACCTACAGACACCTATTTGATGAATGTTTGACACCTACAGACACCTACTTGATGAATATATGACACCAACAGACACCTACTTGATGAATGTATGACACCTACAGACACCTACTTGATGAATGCAAGAGACCTACAGACATCTGCTTGGTGAATGTATGACACCTACAGACACCTATTTGATGAATGTTTGACACCTACAGACACCTACTTGATGAATATATGACACCAACAGACACCTACTTGATGAATGTATGACACCTACAGACACCTACTTGATGAATGCAAGAGACCTACAGACATCTGCTTGGTGAATGTATGACACCTACAGACACCTACTTGATGAATGTATGACACTTACGGACACCTACTTGATGAATATATGACACCTACAGACACCTATTCGATGAATGTATGACACCTACAGACACCTACTTGATGAATGTATGACACATACAGACACCTACTTGATGAATGTATGACACCTACAGACACCTACTTGATGAATGTTTGACACCTACAGACACCTACTTGATGAATGTATGACACCAACAGACACCTACTTGATGAATGTATGACACCTACAGACACCTACTTGATGAATGTATGACTGGTGTTGAGGGGGGGGGGGGGAGGAGCACCTTGTCTGTATGACACCTACCTGATGAAGGTATGACAGGTGTTGAGGGGGGATGGGGAGCACCTTGTCTGTATGACACCTACCTGATGAATGTATGACAGGTGTTGAGGGGGAGGGAGGAGCACCTTGTCTGTATGACACCTACCTGATGTAGGTATGACAGGTGTTGAGGGGGAGGGGGGGAGCACCTTGTCTGTATGACACCTACCTGATGAAGGTATGACAGGTGTTGAGGGGGGGGTGGGGAGCATCCTGTCTGTATGACACCTACCTGATGAAGGTATGACAGGTGTTGAGTTGAGGGGGGGGGGGGGGGATGGGGAGCACCTTGTCTGTATGACACCTACCTGATGAAGGTATGACAGGTGTTGAGGGGGGATGGTTAGCAACCTGTCTGTATGACACCTACCTGATGAAGGTATGACAGGTGTTGAGGGGGGATGGGGAGCACCCTGTCTGTATGACACCTACCTGATGAAGGTATGACAGGTGTTGAGGGGGGATGGGCAGCACCTTGTCTGAATGACACCTACCTGATGAAGGTATGACAGGTGTTGAGGGGGGGATGGGGAGCACCTTGTCTGTATGACATCCACCTTAATGATGAAGGATCACAAAATATTTAGACATGTGTGTGTGGGGGGGGAAAAAAGTAGCGTTTGATTATTTGTTTACCACTTTTGATAAAAAAAGGATTGGTATATCCACGATCCCAAACTGTTGTTTGTTTTGTCAGGGTTGGAAGAAGGGAGTGGTGTATCCACGATCCCAAACTGTTGTTTGTTTTGTCAGGGTTGGAAGAAGGGAGTGGTATATCCACGATCCCAAACTGTTGTTTGTTTTGTAGGGTTGGAAGAAGGGTGTGGTGTTCATCAATGGCTTCAACCTCGGGCGGTACTGGAACATCGGACCCCAGAAGACTCTGTATGTGCCGGCGCCAATCCTTAAGACTGGTACAAACGAGGTAGGGACAGTCTGGTTGAAAGTGCTCAAACAAACATTCACACAAACTTGACAAGTGCTCAAACAAACATTCACACAAACTTGACAAGTGCTCAAACAAACATTCACACAAACTTGACAAGTGCTCAAACAAACATTCACACAAACTTGACAAGTGCTCAAACAAACATTCACACAAACTTGACAAGTGCTCAAACAAACATTCACACAAACTTGACAAGTGCTCCAACAAACATTCACACAAACTTGACAAGTGCTCAAACAAACATTCACACAAACTTGACAAGTGCTCAAACAAACATTCACACAAACTTGACAAGTGCTCAAACAAACATTCACACAAACTTGACAAGTGCTCAAACAAACATTCATACAAACTTGACAAGTGCTCCAACAAACATTCACAAAAACTTGACAAGTGCTCAAACAAACATTCACACAAACTTGACAAGTGCTCAAACAAACATTCACACAAACTTGACAAGTGCTCAAACAAACATTCACACAAACTTGACAAGTGCTCAAACAAACATTCACACAAACTTGACAAGTGCTCCAACAAACATTCACACAAACTTGACAAGTGCTCAAACAAACATTCACACAAACTTGACAAGTGCTCAAACAAACATTCACACAAACTTGACAAGTGCTCAAACAAACATTCACACAAACTTGACAAGTGCTCAAACAAACATTCACACAAACTTGACAAGTGCTCAAACAAACATTCATACAAACTTGACAAGTGCTCCAACAAACATTCACACAAACTTGACAAGTGCTCAAACAAACATTCACACAAACTTGACAAGTGCTCAAACAAACATTCACACAAACTTGACAAGTGCTCAAACAAGCATTCACACAAACTTGACAAGTGCTCAAACAAACATTCACACAAACTTGACAAGTGCTCAAACAAACATTCACACAAACTTGACAAGTGCTCAAACAAACATTCACACAAACTTGACAAGTGCTCCAACAAACATTCACACAAACTTGACAAGTGCTCAAATAGCATTCAAATAGACTGAAAACGTACTTGAACAGGATTCACACAAATTTTAAAAGTCATTGACCAACATTCACACAAAATTGAAATGAGATATTTCTACCTTGAGATATTTGACATTAATATTTATCATCATCAAGTTTATTGTCTTCAAATACCAATTATAGATACATGGTGTAATTAATATGGAATATTGTTGACTGCATTATTAGATATCTGTCACTGGTAAAACTTCAGTGTTTCTTGAAAGTGTGTGCACAAGCACTGCATCAAGTCTCCATGTTGTTTCCTGCATCCCAGGTCCTGATCTTCGAGCTTCACAAGCCAGCGCCAGAGATCACCTTCCAGAGTTCACCGGACCTCGGCTGAGGAGACCGCAACATCGTCAACAGTTGTCCTATAGTCACAATGAAGCTGTATATGCAAGGTTCCACCATCTACCCGGGTCACTGCTTGACCCACCCACAACTGGACTGACCATTAGTGGTTATATTTTCTTATCTGAAAGGGTTGTGATTGACCCCCATGATTGGGTTTTCAGTATTAGTCAAACAAAGGTTTGATGTTCCCATGTCTGTATTATTGTCTACATAGGCCGAGGAGTGGGGCTAGCTTGTTTTGACAGTGTGTCTGTCTGTGAGTGTGTGTGTGTGTGTGTGTGTCTGTCTGTCTGTGAGTGTGTGTGTGTCTGTCTGTCTGTCTGGGTATCTGTCTGTTTGTGTGTGTCTGTCTGTGAGTGTGTGTGTGTGTGTGTGTGTGTCTGTCTGTGAGTATGTGTCTGTCTGTCTGCCTGTGTATGTTTGTGTGTGTCTGTCTGTGTGTGTATGTGTGTCTGTCTGTGAGTGTGTGTGTGTGTGTATGTGTGTCTGTCTGTGAGTGTGTGTGTGTGTGTGTTTCTGTCTGTCTTTTTGTCTGTCTGTCTGTGTCTGAGTGTCTGTCTGTGTCTGAGTGTCTGTCTGTCTATTATGTGACCATGTGATATCATTGGTGGAGGTGAGCCTGGACAAAAATCATGTATCAGTATGCTGGATGTAAACCAAATATCTGTTTGTGAAACTATTGTGAAACTATTGTGAAACTATTGTGAAACTATTGTGAGACGATGTGGAGCTATTGGCTCCCCACTGCACAGAAATGATTTCAGACAGTGACCAAAACATATCTTGTCTAACAAAAGTTATAGCAAACTACCTCCATCCCCCTTAGTCAGGGCCAGTGTTGGGATGCTGACCTACGTAGTTACTCACTGTTTCTTAAGCTGATGGCTGTTGTCGTTAAGGTACTATATTAGCTTAGTCAGGGCCAGTGTTGGGATGCCGACCTACGTAGTTACTCACTGTTTCTTAAGCTGATGGCCGTTGTCGTTAAGGGTACTATATTAGCTTAGTCAGGGCCAGTGTTGGGATGCTGACCCGCGTAGTTACTCACTGTTTCTTAAGCTAATGGCCGTTGTCGTTAAGGGTACTATATTAGCTTAGTCAGGGCCAGTGTTGGGATGCTGACCCACGTAGTTACTCACTGTTTCTTAAGCTGATGGCTGTTGTCGTTAAGGGTACTATATTAGCTTAGTCAGGGCCAGTGTTGGGATGCTGACCCACGTAGTTACTCACTGTTTCTTAAGCTGATGGCCGTTGTCGTTAAGGGTACTATATTAGCTTAGTCAGGGCCAGTGTTGGGATGCTGACCCACGTAGTTACTCACTGTTTCTTAAGCTGATGGCTGTTGTCGTTAAGGGTACTATATTAGCTTAGTCAGGGCTAGTGTTGGGATGCTGACCCACGTAGTTACTCACTGTTTCTTAAGCTGATGGCTGTTGTCGTTAAGGGTACTATATTAGCTTAGTCAGGGCCAGTGTTGGGATGCTGACCTACGTAGTTACTCACTGTTTCTTAAGCTGATGGCCGTTGTCGTTAAGGGTACTATATTAGCTTAGTCAGGGCCAGTGTTGGGATGCTGACCCACGTAGTTACTCACTGTTTCTTAAGCTGATGGCTGTTGTCGTTAAGGGTACTATATTAGCTTAGTCAGGGCTAGTGTTGGGATGCTGACCCACGTAGTTACTCACTGTTTCTTAAGCTGATGGCTGTTGTCGTTAAGGGTACTATATTAGCTTAGTCAGGGCTAGTGTTGGGATGCTGACCCACGTAGTTACTCACTGTTTCTTAAGCTGATGGCTGTTGTCGTTAAGGGTACTATATTAGCTTAGTCAGGGCCAGTGTTGGGATGCTGACCTACTTAGTTACTTATGTTACTTAAGTTTTGTGGCTTAGGGTACTACATATATGTACCCAGTAGGGCTGGGATGGGTAACTCGGGTACCCCGATCGGGTGGGTACTGAGTAGGACCCGGGTACCAACAGGACTACCCAGACCCGTGCTTAGTCACGTGATATATTGTTTAATGACCAAAATTATCTAGAACTCTATGGTTACACTACAAGTCACTAATGTTCACATTTCTTTCTGACTATGCACCCATTTCTTCTGATTTTTTATATGGTTGAATAAAGATGTAACTTAAGTCAACTTCAGTGTATGAATGATGAGATTGTTCAATACATGTATCTAAATACGTTTTGCCAGGGCTATGCTATGTAGACAATTGCTTATATCAAAGACAATTGGTAGATGTAGACAATTGCTTATATCAAAGACAATTGGCAGATGTAGACAATTGGTAGATGTAGACAATTGCTTATATCAAAGACAATTGGTAAATGTAGACAATATCTTATATCAAAGACAATTGGCAGATGAAGACAATTGGTAGATGTAGACAATTGCTTATATCAAAGACAATTGGTAAATGTAGACAATATCTTATATCAAAGACAATTGGCAGATGTAGACAATTGGTAGATGTAGACAATTGCTTATATCAAAGACAATTGGTAAATGTAGACAATATCTTATATCAAAGACAATTGGCAGATGTAGACAATTGGTAGATGTAGACAATTGCTTATATCAAAGACAATTGGTAGACTGTCGTAATAAAATAAGTTGTAGCTGTATCAACTAAGTGCTATAAAACATAACAAGGCATGCATGTACCCACATATACCCCAAGTGATACTACAACGAATTTATCTTACTGACATGTTTCAATTTCATTGCAAAAGAATTTAAGCAAATTGAAAATTGATAGAATATAGCTGTTGGATTGACAACAATGTGCAGCTTTTTGCCTTGTAGCAGGGTGCAAGTGATTATTATCCCAGCTCAGAAGTCAATGTCCATCTTGGTTTCTTCATGGCGGGGTATAAGACATTTATTCTCACACTCAGAAATTTATCTCCCTCCGTAAGTACTTAATCAAGATCACGTGAACCAATCAGATCTCAACATTCTGACATGGAGGTGAGATAAGTACTTATACTGAAAGCAAGTGGTAGATACATGTATGGACCCGTGAAGATCCGGGGTAGAATAGGTCTTCAGCAACCCATGCTTGCCGTAAAAGGCGACTATGCTTGTCGTGAGAGGCGACTAACGGGATCGGGTGGTCAGGCTCGCTGACTTGGTTTGATGCATGTCATCGATCCCAATTGCGTGGATCGATGCCCATGACATCAATCACTGGACTGTCTGGTCCAGAATCGATTATTTACAGACCGCCGTCATATTGTTGAGTGCGGCGTCAAACAACAAACAAACATGTATGAACTTTATGGGTGTATGAGCCTTTAGGTTCATGGATTTGACATGGAATCAAAGAATATGGTGAAATCTGAATAGAGCATACTCTCCTTTGGTGTGTAAGATATGGTTTGTTGATGTGGATTGTGTGGTGAAGTTAGACAGGAATGATTTGATTTTCTTCATGAAAATGATGAAATGTGAAAGGGAAAATATAAAATATGAATGAGCATTAATATTGATTTGAGGTTAGTTCTAGTAGTAGTATAGGTTCTATGTGGTGTCACAGTTAAGAGTGGACTCGGCAAGGGTTGTAACGGGACTTTTATGGTCAGTTAACTCCCAAGCCCTGGGAAAATGTGCTAATTAATGAGAATTATTTGAGAGGGTATAAAATTGTTCTGGTGATTGGTGGTACAACTTCTTGTTCTAATCATGAAAATGGTGTTATTTGATTGGATGTCTATTTATAGAATTGTGTCATTCCCACTGGATCCCGCTCCACAAAGGGTTCGTAATGCTAGCTCCCATTCTATAACATAGACTTACAACAGTCGTAGTACTACGATGATCGTAGCTCCCATTCTATAACATAGACTTACAACAGTCGTAGTACTACGATGATCGTAGCTCTCACACTTTAACATAGATTTACGACAACCTTTCTTCCTATCTCAACTGGGGGCACGGGTGGCCCAGTCGTCTAAGGCGCCGCGATTTGCTGTGCAGAGTTGCATCCCTTGGGCACGCCAGAAACCTATGATTGTGGGTTCGAATCCTGGTTCGCCCCGATTATGTTTCTAGGTTTGTCAGCACCATACCCGTGCTCGTGGGTTTCGCGGAAAGTGGTAAACGTCTAAGACCTGCGTCACTTCAGGCTTTCCTCCCACATTAAGCTGACACGCAGCGATATAACTGGAATACTGTTAAAAGCGGCGTTAAACCCAACTCACTCACTCACTCCCATCTCAACTTGTCCAGTTTTGGGCCAATTCTAATAAATAGTAGGGCTCTGTATTGACCTGGATTTTGTATTGCAATATATTGCCATACATTAACCTGTATTGCGATAAGTATTGCAATATATTGAAAATTTACATTTTCATCAGAGTTATACCCTGTATTAATGTCAGATACCATCAAGCTCCTTCCCAGCGCGTGACGCCTTCGTTATATTCTTGGTATAGAGGGCTCCGCCAATGGGCTATCGCTGCGAGGAGCTTGATAGTCGTGATGTGTACACGCTAACTGATAAAAAGATTGTCAGAGGCAAGTTGTATCAGAGAGATACTGTTTTCCATCTCAATATCAATTAGGAACACAGAAATATACTTATTTATATTTGGCCCAATATATTGCTATGTTTACAAATGAATCACAATACGTATTGCTGAAGATTTGCACCACAATATACCGGTGTACCGGTAAAACCTCACACCCTTATTAAATAGTGTATGTTCATCCAAGAAAATGTATATATTATTGGAGTGTGGAGATCTTAATAACAGTGTATGAAATGTTGTGAAATAAGGTTTTCCTGATTGAAGAAGAAAATTTTATGATTGTCATGTATACACGGATATATGTATGTATCATGTATGTATGTATGAGTATCATGTATATACATTTGTATCATGTTTGTACCATATATATTACATGCATGTACGAGGGGTGGCCGAAAAGTTCTGTGCCTAATTTGATGGAGTTGATTGTTAATTGTTTTTCCATATAATCCCCTACGAGGTCAATGTACTCCTATAGTGCCTGGATTACACTGAAGGCTTCCTAATGGGATCGGGTAGTCAGGCTCGCTGACTTGGTTGATTCATGTCATTGTATCCCAATTGCATGGATCGATGCTCATGATATCAATCACTGGATTGTCTGGTCCAGACTCGATTATTTACAGACCGCCGTCATAAAGCTGGAATATAGCCAAGTGCAGCGCTAAACAACAAACAAACAAACAAATCGTAGTTCGGTTCAGAATTTTTCGGCCACCTGTTGTAGCATATTTATGATGTATGTATCATGTATATATATTTATCATGTATTTCACAT